AAATAGTACATACTCAAACTCGCCATTGTAGTAGACCTAGAAAAACATCCAGTTACGCAAGAACTATATATCACTCAGCCATCCAGCAGCAGCGCCCTAGTAGAAACATTTAGGGTAGATGCAACCACATGGCAGCAAGAATCAATAATATTATGGAATAAATGGACCCTTTTAATTTGAGGTACAAAAAATGCAAATGTTGGAAGCCTTAACTGCCAAAACTAGTAAATTTTGGTCAGCCACCCAATTGGTGCTCCAGCCTGCTTTCAGGCCTTGATTCTGCAAGTTCTTAAGTGGTGTTTGTTTCTCCTATTTTCCAGTATGCTGTCGTACAAAACATAGTTTACAGACAAAAAATGAGGACTGGCTAATCCAGCTTTGACCAGATGAATTCATCCTCCATATCTCTTCTAGAAACATTGAGATCACGGCGACCAACATCCTCAAGAGACAGTTCGACCATAACAGATGGATGCAATGTAAAGATTCTTGGACCATTTTTCCTGAGAAATGAATGCAAGCAAAGGAAACATCTGATTATGAGAGAAAAAGTAAAACAAGCCAATAAGACAGTCTGGATCATGTTATCCCTTTGTGAAGATTTGGAAGAACAGGGGGAGAATAACTACTGTTTATTCCTCCAGTTAAGGAAAACGCAGCATGCAAAGGAAACATCTGATTATGAGAGAGACTGATCACCTTTACATGGGTGCTTGGGAAGGCAGATGTCCGCAAGGTCTCTTGAGTCTCATCAATCATTTTACGTCTTGGTACGCTCAATATGAAGGCTGCTTGATCAGCAGTAGCAGCCATAGAAGTTATTCGATAACCACTTTCCCATCGTCGATGTATTCCTTCACTTGGGTAGAGAAAATCAAGCTCTACAACCTGCATGGAATCATCTTGTTGAAATTTTGTTGCTTTCAGTTACTGCAGTAACTTTTTTAGCATAATAAGTTACTTAGTTTTAGGATAAATCTACTTTTTTGAATTTAAATTTCAGTTAGATTTTTTTAGGTTTGTTGAGATATTTTAGTTTTTTTGAATTCTTGTTATGCAGATTTTTCTGCAGATTATGTTCCTGATTGGCTATTTAAAGCCTTGTTATGCTTAATAAAATTATTGAGAGACATTTTCAATCAATATTTTTAATATTTTTGCTGCCCCATCATTTAAAAAGCCAACACATCTATTTTAAGCTTCTTCTATTTGGAGGGAAACAAGAAATGCATTAGAAGTGGTCACCAAATGGAAGCTATCTTACCTGTTCAGAATATCCAGAATTTCTGGACATCACCACGCCCCACCGGCTGCCAGCAGTGGTCATGGATGTGACATGGAAACCTTCTTTCCACTTTTTATTTATCCATTTAAAAGGAAATGATTCACTTACTTTGTAAGACTGTTGTGTATAAGGAGTTCCTGTTCAGCAAGCACCAAGAGTAGTCAATAGAGTGTTTATAGACACATGGACTGAAATTCTATTCAACTATCTTCAGCAGGTGAAACCCTAACAAGCAAATTGCAGCGGCTAATAAAAAGTACAGCTCATCAAGCAGGCAGGAATACATGGTGATTACATTGAGAACAACATATGCATCAAGAGGAGGAATTTGGTATCCTTTTCTGAATTCTGGGTCAACCAAAACCAGATAAAAGTTAACCATCTATAATAATTGTAGAAGCAGCAACCATTATCATGAGACGGCTGTCTTTGCCTTGGAAAATCCAAGGGTATTCTCTACCAATACTGGATAACATAATTTCGACAGAAGACCACAAAAGAAGTGTTCCTGTAGCTTTTCCTTGTCCCAGGAGTCTGACAGTGGAGCTCATTTTCTGGTGAGCAGTCATGAACCATAGGCAACCTCAACCTTGAGGAGACTACAAAGTGCTAGGTAGGCGGGAATGACTATAATGGCAAGCAATTAAGTGGTGTCTAAAATAACTTGATACTACTTTTTCAGCAGTTATCTGCACATTGGTTAAAGCCCTGTTATGTGAATCAATCAGATCCTACTCCTTTAATATCTAACCTTTGGACATAACAACCAAAGAACTTCCATTAGCTGCTCCGGCTATTGAGCTGATATAATAGTTCTTCTCCCACTGTTCCATTATCCAATCCTAAGAAGAACCCAAAAATGAGTTATAGGTAAGAATCTCTCCTGCAGAGGAAGTAAAGGGACAAAAACTGTAGGTGATTCAGATGACAACCTTATGGAGGAAGACAGCTGAAAGATCGTAAACCTGGGACGAGAAACCAGTTCCTGCATCCATGATTAGGGCCCAAAGATTGGCAGCTGAAGCCACACAGCTGATGTAAAGACCATCTTCATTTCCCTTGTCTACATGCTGTTGGAGCCTAGAGTCTGCAACATTGTAGTGATATCTACAAAATCCAACATTAACACTTCCCTATCAGCAGTCCACACTAATATAGAATCAAATGCACTTCAGAAAATAGCTAACAGAAACTATTAACTGCCACACTTTAATACGTGGGTGGTTCATGCGAGCCTAAAAGAGAGTATGCTCCAGTCTTTTTAGGAAACAATTATAGAAGAGGCATATAGTAAATGCATATGGGGAGATGATTTGCACAATATTCCCTCGTTCAGAGAACATTTAATATGTGACTAACTCATGCACTAGACAGTTAAATGTGTTTATATGCCGGGCGGATGCACCTTAGCCCAGATGGTGCAAAACAATGACATTACATATAACGAAAACATAGTACTATTCTAATGAGGCTATTAAGAATACATTTCAAGAAACGAAAACTCGTCCATGAGAGCTGTAATAACATAAATAAATTGTGCTTTATTAATATGATTTGAATTCTGCTTTTAAAATTACTTTGGACATTGATTTGTTCATTTGTTCACTTCTTTAAATGTTGACATCGCTTACAAAAGATCCTACGTACGCCTCTGTTTATGTGAAGCTATGAGGTCAAACAGTTTATGAGGGTGTTTGGAGTAGCTTTTAAGCTAAAAGCCAAAAGTTGGTAATACCGAACTTTTGGCTTTTGGCTTATTTTTGTACTTTTTATGCCTAAAAGTAAGTGCTTTTAAGCACTTTTTATCATTGTCGAACACCACACAAACTAAAAAAGTGCTTAAAAGCCAATAAGCACTTAAAATAAGCCAATCCAAACACCCTCTATATAGGAATAACCAAGTTTGTGTTAGCAGACTACACATAACTATCACATTTTATTAGAAAGAACCACTCATACACAGAACTATCACATCGCACAAGAAAGCTTGGCAGCAGATATATTTAAAGTTGTACCAATAAACGCATGCAACCAATGGCGGACCCAGTAATTTGTGTAAGCGGGTTCAATCTTAGAAGTACATAACTTAAGTCGTAAAACAGTAGTTGTCAAGTCGGTTCAAATAAAATATTTATACAAAATTTATGCAGCTTTAATCGTTATTTATACATATACACGGTATTATTTTTTGATGAAGCGGGTTCAGTTGAACCCGCTTGCCACCACGTGCATCCGCCACTGCATGTAACTGTAAGCACACGTGCATTCTCTTCTTCCAAGTTGATATCTTGTTCAGGTAGATAAAGTGGTGCGAAAGATGTTCATGCATGTACCATAAAACATGCATGCAAGTGTAAGCACATGGTTATTTTCTTTTCTTCTGGTTTGGAGTATCCCTATCCCTTGCTCGGTGGAAGAGAGAAACGTGTCATTTTTATGCTCGACTAGAAACATCAATTATACTTCAGAACACCCAAAAAACAAGCATTCATTTGAAAGGTGGCCCTCAGGAATAAGGAAATAGCAAACTTTTATCAAAACGGTCCGTGGACTCTGCCCTAATTTCCTTCCTGGTCCCTCAGATGTCACTCTTAGAGAATATAGTCCACCAACGGCACCTTTTCCTAATAAAGTAGTCTAACAATTAAAAAACGTGTCAACTCCCAGAGGGAATTCTCAGAGGGTATTAGGTGAAACTACAAATAAAAGTGTGAAACTAACTTTTTCCATGAAAACCCATAACCCTATTAACCTCGCAAAACACCACCATGTTAGCACATTATACCGACCTTTTCGTTGCTCACCTTACCTTCAGGAAATTCAGATCTTCCCTCAACCTTCCCAAACAACCATGCATGTCTTTACTTGACCTCTCCTTTAAAGATCGTCATGACACAATCTGAGAACAAAAGCCTCGTCAGACTCTTGATTTCCCTCCCACCTTCCCAAAAACCTCTTTGTTACCCTACTGCTCCTCTCCTCCCCTCTCCTCTCCAGCTCCAGCTCCACCAGTTCAGATTTGTGTGTTTGCAGCATGGGAACAGATCCTCAAAAGGAATCCCTGGGAACAACGGAAAACACAAAAGACATCTTGATAACGATTACTCCTGCTCCTCGAGAGTTCACAAGAAAGAGTTGATGCTCCTATATCCTTAGTATGAGTGGTTAAAAGGGCGAACTTATCTACATTTATCCTTCCTCATCATTTCCGTAAGATTTTTGAAAAGAGAAGACAAACTCTTCTATTTTCCCAATATAAAAAAGCATTAAGAACATAAATGGAAAGGTCCTCTTACTTCCTGTTCTCTTTTACTTGCAAATCAACCAGGTGAAAAGATCCTTCCCCTTCTTCTATCTTTTACCATAGTCATTTTTCCTCAGTAAAGAAAGCATTTAGCGGAAGTTAGAAGTTCCACAACTTGCATTTTTGGTAGAAAATCATTGGTATTCAAGAAGCCTATCTTCAAATAAATACTTCAAAAGTTCTGCATTAGACATTCAGCTACTTCCTCGAAAGTCCACTCTGCTTCAAGCTTGCTATAATCCCAAAAGGTATCACAATTACACATGCCTAGTAGCCATGCATGCAATAGAATACTGAAAGTCTCAGCGCTAACTCACTAGACTGACAATCGACCCTACGGAGATATTTAGCCTGGGAATATTACTTCCAATAAAGGCAGGTAATTATGAGTTCTGCCGTACTTGATTCCTGAGAAAGGAGATACCACCACGTCAATGAAGGAATGCAAGTGTAGTTTTCATCAGATCTAAACCATTTACACAACAACTTATCAGCAATAACTTTTTTCTTCACGGTCATGTCTGTGTCAACTTGCCTGCACCCTCTACTACTCCCCTAGGTACCTGCTACCTCCATCGGCACAGGTCTGCTGCCAAGGCTTAGACGGAAGTGAAGATGTCACCGAGCATTTTTTGTCTCCGTTAGGATTTGAACCCTGGTCTTTCATGGTTTTACCCACTTCATTACCCGCTAGGTTACACCCTTGGGTGCATAACTTACCAGCAATAACTTATGTGTCTTTATAATATTCTTATTACATGCTCCAAAAGCATTTTTACAAGCTTAAGGATATAATCTTTTTTCTCATTAGAGAGGCAAACAACATTAATGAACTGATTCAGCTTCTTCATTTTGATAACTTGTTTTTGATTGGTTACCATACCTTTGGCATGATAAATAATATTGAAAAAGCTAAACAGCAGTGGTTTCCTGAACACATAACACCGTTTGTCCCCCATTTACTAGATCTTATGAAGTTCAAGTTCAACGAGGTTCAGTGCTTTTCCAGAAGCTCATTAAATATTATTTGATTAACGTGCTGATCAAAAACTTAACATAGCAGCTATTTCACAGCTGTTATCCACAATGGAACATGCACCCATTCATGTATACTTACGAAGAACATGCACAGAAGCACTTGAATCCCGGTTAGCTTACAATATGTTATAGAGCATAGACCTACATCCTTGCCAAAATTTTAAAAGTTGCAGCCAAGTCTTTTCTTCCATAGGAAAAGCTCGTATTTCTCCATAGCACACATTATGAAGAGGCCCCAAGCAGCTACTCGGAATTTAGATCATGGATATTAAATTTAACCAATCTAAACCAAAGGTCAAATCTAATGTGCCAAATCAGAAAACTTATATCATGATTCATGAAATAGCTATTTCAGAGCTGTTAACCATATGAAACATGCAGCCATGTATGCATACAATATAAAAATCATTCACAGGAGGATATGTTTCCCAATTAGCGTAGAATAATTTTTTTATCAAGTCCCAATAAGATATTGTAAAGCATAGATTAAATCCTCGCTAAATATTATAAGAGTTGCAACCAAGTATCTTTTCCCTGGGAACAGTTCATATTTCTCTTTAGCACACACTATGAAGAGGCATCCAGAAGCTGCTCAGAATTTCACTCAGCAGATGAAAGCACAAAACAAATACTTTATAAAAATTGTTGCAGTTATTTACTTGTTTGCCTGGTGAGTATATGTACCATTACTCAGCCAGGACTTCTGTTCATCCAAGATTTTTAGGAGTTGTGGTGAAGTCATATTTCTTCGAGTTGAAAGTTTGGGGTTCATTTAGTACATTTCATGAAGAAGCGCCTTCGGAGTCTCAATAAGAAGATATTCAAAATAGATCAGATAAATTTATACATTCAATCTAGAGACAACAAACACGGAAAGTCATCTACAACTCCTACAGACGCTTTTTGTCGCATATAGAATCTTCGAGGAAAAATAAACTCCAGAAATTTAAACCTGTCAACCTCAGCCAAAACATATGTAAGCATCCAAATAAAACAGAAAGTCCACACATACATCAGAAGGAGAAGTTTAGCTGCAAAGATATATAACTGTGGTCTGCAGGTCTGCACGAAATAGCCTTCTCTGAAACCAGCAATATACCTTACTATATCTCTAGTTGCAGTTAAACGTAGTTAGCAGAGGTCTATATCTTGATGTTTCCTTGCATAGATAATATATGATGCAGTCACCTAAACATGGAATATTCCTGAAGGTCCTCGTGGGTCAGATTTTCAAAAGCTACCAACCTCCCAAGAATCAGTAAGTGTCACACTTTTTCACATGTTAAATTATCCTCCTTAGCATCTTCCTTCAAATATGTATGCCCCTGCTTCCATTTATATGCATTTATTTACGTACAAAATTACATGTTTTGACAGTAAATCATGCAAGTTCTCTGCTTAAAGCATATTTAATTTCTCAAGTTCTGGAGTGCATCCATAACATAGGGTTGAGAAAGGACATCAGATGACACGCAAGTCTGTGTACACTTCTATAGTTCTATTGCCAAGTTGGTGTTCCAACAACTGATTACATACTTTGCTCTTCTGCCAAACAAAACAAACGACAGAACAAACTGGAAAGATGCAATGCTGCAGCAAAGATATGTAAAAATCTAATTAATCACAGACTTTATTTGAGATGTCTATGCAGTGAAGATGTGTGAAAATCTAATTTTTCGCTGTAAGACTTTATATGAGATGTCTACAATTTCACAGCTAAACTGCAAAGAGCAAAAACAAAGAAAACAATATCAAGCACTTGAGGCACCTTTTTGTAAAGCAAAATGGTTATTGCATGTAACTTATGAATTATAATCACCATATCACATTTTGACATATAGCAACTACCTCTGTTTCATGGGACGCCGTGCATTATAAACTGAAATCCATTGGGTTGCAGGACTACCGAGTCGCACTTTTTTCTTTGGTTGCTCATCTTCCTCCAAGTTTATCAACAGTCTTCCCCGCTTCTGCCCAACCTGATTAAGGATAGGTAACAGCTAAGTAAGGAGCCAATATATCATGCAAACACATACAACCATGCATAAAGATAGATGGACCTTAAGAGCCCCATCAATTCTTATTGGCCTCAGTGATGTGCAGGGCTCAATAAGACTCTCAAAGAATGATATGAGCTTGGCGTAATTCGGTTCCTCATCAAACTTCATGTTTGTTACAGCCTCAAGGAATTGCTTGAATGGGGCAGGGCAAAAGCAACACATCAACTCTGGTGAAGTGGCCATTTTCTTTTTACAGACTAGAAAACTCTTGTTGTCACCCTGTCACCATTCGAAACATCATACAGTAGAACCATCAAACTCAATTAGCAAAGTTATGCCCAAGCAACAAATTAGTGAAGCAAAATCAACCAACCTGATAGCCTTGCCATGGTAACCTTCCCTTTATGAGGAATATTAATGTGTATGCTAGAGACTCAAGGTCATCCCTTCTACTCCCAGTCCGACCTAAATGTGCATGTACACTTGCATATCTTATAGTACCCCTGTCAAATAAAAGCATATTTAGTGCACAAAACATGAAAATAAAGTTACATATCTAAGCTTATTCACGTGTCAAATTCCATAAACCTGAATATATCTGGCCTCTGGTCATACTCGACATGCTGAGCAGATGCTGCATCTTTCCATCTAGATGCTGCATCAAATGTAAAACAATGCATCACAAAAAGCACACATCGAGTTAAAACAAAAGGAATTATTAATCTTCTAATATAATAAACCCACTACCAAGAAAGTTATCCCGCAAATGTACCGAGATATCTAGAGACATATTTCAACAGAAAAACCGACATTATGCTTATAAATCTAGCTCGCTAAGGTGATTCTTTTTCCATTCTAAAAATTAGAAAAGCAAAGGCGTTTGACACACCAAGGAAAAGCATAGAGTGATTAAGGGAGAAAATGAATAATAATAATAATAATAATAATAATGCATTGTACCTAAACCAAGATCAATAAGATACAGCTTCTTCTCATCAACACTTCCTGGCTGACCAAGCAAAAAGTTTTCTGGCTTCACATCTCCATGCACAAACCTAAGAGACAGAAACAACGCTGAACAGTTAACTTCATATATACAACATCACTGCTGAGTTTAGAACAGGAAAGTGAACTGATGCAAACAGAGCAAGCAATGCTAAACCCAAGGAAGTTAAAGATGAAACATGAAGAAAATGACGCAAAAGAAATGTATATAGAAGAGATCAAAACACTTACCCCTTAAGGTGAAGCTTTTCGAGAATTGATATTGCCTCCACAGCGATACAGGCCGCCATATTTGGTGACATTCTGTTGCAGGTTAAAATTCTTAAAACAGGAAGCATATAACGCGTCCATGTGCAGGGAAAGTAATACAGAGTAAACTGCTTTGCATTCCAATGCATCTGCAGTCATGTTAAATGTGAAGGAGATGTAGTAGTAAAACTTACGACTGGCCTAAAGAGTTCCAGACATCCCAAAGGCTCGGTCCAAGCATGTCCATCACCTAAAAATAAATATTCAGCAAATATCACAAAGATGCAACAAGTAACACTGATATTAATGGTGAGAAAACTAAGCTCACCAGTATGTAAAAATCTCCCTGACGACCCTTATAATGAACCCCTGGGATCCCATAGCAGCTGTTTAGGGTACTGTCAAACAGTAAAGTTGCAAATAAATGATAAGAAAGGCATCTCAAGACTGAAAAAAGATTATACATACCACAAACTCCAAAATTAGGAATTTCACTTACTTGTACACCTGCCACTCATAAGGAGGGCCATAGTTGCAACCCTTACTGTTTCGATGCTCAAACTTTAATGCAACCTAGAGCAGAACATTATCACTGTATTATACACTAAATAATTTCAACAAATCACACAATAAATGGCATGGATAGTACCTCAACAGCATCTGGTCCTGTTCTCCCAGTTCCACCACTTGTTCTACGACCAACATAAACTTGTCCAAATCCACCCTTACCTAATCTTCTTTCTGTTTTATATACAGGAGAATTACCCACTTGCACCTGCATCCAGACAGAGGAAGCCTTCTTTCATGAATTCTACTCCCAATAAGATATATATAACATTTAAAGTCTTGCTCCACTGACTATCACTAACGCTATCCACATATTTCCTTAAGCAGATGGTGAAGAGTGAAATGGCAGAGTCAAGTTTAAGAAGATTTTCAGTTGATCCCCAATTTCATTAAGAAAATTCAAAAAGAAAAAAGAAGCAACAAAATGGATGTTAGGGTTATCAGGAAGATACCCTATCAGGTACTGGAGTTGTGCTTGCTTCTTCTTCAACTCCCATTATTTTATCTCTACTCCCACCTTCCATTGCAATATTTTTATCTGCAGCACCCTCAGCTCTATTAAGAGCTGGCTCTGCAACACCAACAGGAACAGCTTGAGGAAGAACCTCACAAGGTGGCTCCGGATCTAAATCGATCAACCTAATCCCCCTACCCCTACCAGCACCACCAGGCCTTGCCCGCGTCGCTGCTGAAGGCCCTTTTGCTACAGCTGTTGCATTACCCCTTCCTCTTCCACCACCACCTCTTCTTCGACCTCTGTTCTGAGTAGGCAAAACCCAATTTTCTTCTTGGCCAGAGGGTTCAGGGGCAGGCTGGAGATCACCAAGCCGTTTTGATCTCCGTGCTCCGCTACGCAGCTCTGGCATCCTCACCCATGCAAATCACATTCAACTCGATTCACCCACCTTGCCTTGAAAATCTGGTGGTACCCAAAAAAGAAGAATCACTTAGAAGATACAAGAGAAGCTCAAAACTGAGATTTTTAACAATTTGTGAACAACCTAATCAAAACCTCAATTTGCAATAAGACGCAGAAAATGCAGGCTTCAAACATGAAGAAACTTGGGGAAACTTTACAGGATAACATTTCAAAATTATAATTCTGCTTACTTAAAATATTAAAAGTGACCAGGTGACTAGAAACATATCTCTACTTTTGGCAAAAAAATCCGAAACATCTATGTAAAAGCTGGTAACATCATTCTTGATCACACAGACAAAAAAGACATGAAATTTTCCCAATCAAGAAAAAACAATAAAAGCTCCAATAAATTTCATGATAAGGAAAGTTCTTAACTGTGGAATCAACAATAAAAGCTAAACAGCCAAACCACATCCAAGTTAGAAACTTTATCAAAGAAACCCAACTAAAACAGTTCAACAAAAATATTCTATAATCAGGAAAAAGAATCTAAGACGGGAACCAATGTGATCCTACTCATACCTCAACCGATCATCAAGAAAGCAACAAAGATGGAACTGTTTTGGTACATTCCACAAAAGCAAAAAAAAGAAATCCGAAAGAATCCAACAAAACCAAGAAACAAAAGCAAAAAAGTTGAGATGTTACCTCAAAAACAACAAACCCAAAAGGATCGGAGAGAAACTGAACAAAAATCAACGCATTTAATGAACCAAACAAGAGTTGTAATTGTTGATCAAACTTTAGATCTTCAGTGAACTCATAGATACCACGGGGGATAGCTCAAGAAATTGAAAAAATATAAACAAAAACAAAGAATCTTATCTGTAGCACAAAAACAAGATAGGAGAAGAAAAAATGAAATGCAGAAATGGTTTTGTGTGAATATATGTATGGGAGTATATCGATAAGGCAGGAGTCGAAATGGAGAAGGAAGTAATATTATTACGTCCGGTGAGAATTTGGATTTCGAAAACCTTTGAATTTTGTGAAATAATAATAATTGGAATAGTGAGTAAGCAGCCACCTTGTGTATTTTGTGTGTTGTAGGTGGAGGGGCTATGTGGCACTGTGGCGCACACAGTACACCGCGTGTAAAAATAGCACGGGCTAGCCGGCTTTCGGATTAATAGTTAAAAAATAACCATCATTTGTAAAGTCATTGATAAATAGCTACTCCCTCCGGTCCAAAATAAATGATTTTTTGGATGTTTTCACACAAATTAAGAAATCCACCTTTTAGCATTAATTAGCAATGGATTTGACCATATTAATCGTTACTATCTCACATAAACACTCCTAACACATATTCCAACACCATTTACTTCAAGGACAATGTAGGAAAAAAATAATTAATTCATTCTTAAAATCTGGAAAAATCACTTATTTTGGACCACAAGAAAAAGGCCAAAAAATCACTTATTTTGGACCGGAGGGAGTATTAATTTTGCTGCAACGGAAAGTTTCGGGGAGATTGGTGCACCTGTGTATGAAATTTTATTGATTGTTAGACCACAATTAGAATGTTAGGTGTTCGACTATTTTATAATAGTCCATATAATTTGGAGGAATTGATGAGTGTTGCAATTGTACCATAAAAGAAAAAGAAGTAGATTGCATTCTTAACTAATATACTTGTTATCTAGATTAACTTCAAGATACGAGAAAGTTAAACTAACTTTGTTTCTAAAACAAGGTTAGGTATGATTATAGTTCATATTGATTTCACACATAAATAATTTTTAATGATGATGAAACTACTTAAATACAACTAGCAATGCTAACATATACTACTACTTACTGGATGCAAATAAAACTAAACACTAATATTAAAATTGAGGTAGGAATGAGATAGTTAGGTGGCTATTGATAATGTACTCGAAATGCAGCCCCATTTTGTAAAATAGTGCTTGTATTAACTTTGTGTATTAACAATATATTATTTGGTATACCTTTTAAATCTATGCATTAGCTATGCAGTCATTAGTTATGTACACATTTTATGTAATATTTGAATATATGTAGTCATAAGGGCAAAAGCAGTAGACAAGTATAAGCATTAAATTCAAAGAACACTAACAACTGGAAAGTCAAACATAAGAGATCATATTACACGAGCATCAAATTTTCATGTAGTTACGGGTTCAAATCCTAAGATCACCTTTGTAACTTATCGAGGTGTTACGACCCAAATTCTACTAATGATCGTGATGGCACCTAATCTCAATACGCTAGGTAAGTCAACAACCAAAATCAACCAAAATAAGTCAAATACAAGATAAAGTATTGTCATGATATAAATAAAGCATAACAAGTCTCACAATAACAACCAAAGTAGAAAATACTACCACAAACTCCCAAAATCTGGTACTACAAAGTCAGCAACTAGGCACAAAATACAAGAGTACTGTCTGAAATAAGATAGATAGTATGATAATGAGAAGTGATTTCAAGGGACTGCGGTCGATCAAGCAGCACTACCTCAAGTCTCCTAAATCAGCAACTAGGCACCCTCATGAGATCCACTAGTGTCAATGCCAGAATCTGCACAAAATATGCAGCAGTGTAGTATGAGTACAACCGACCCAATGTACTCAGTAAGTATCACGACTAACCTTGGCGAAGTAGTAGCGAGATTTAAGTCACATGATACTCACTAACAAATAAACCTATTCAGTTCATGCATATATATAACAAACAACAACAACAACAACGACCTAGTGAAATCCCACTGGTGGGGTCTGGGGAGGGTAATGTGTACGCAGACCTTACCCCTACCCCGAAGGAGTAGAGAGGCTGTTTCCGAAAGACCCTCGGCTCAATAAGACAAAAAGACAAAAGGAGACAATATCAGTAACAGCACAGAAATAATAGGAAAAAAAGGAAAAACATGAAATCCAGAAGAAAGATACATAGCAAAAAAGAAATAGTATCCCTACCAAACTAGTCGCACAAAGTTATGACATAAGGCAACACTCAACAACCTCCTAACCTACAACCCTAATACTTGACCTCCACATGTTCCTATCAAGTGTCATGTCCTCGGAAATCTGAAGCCTCACCATATCCTGCCTGATCACCTCCCCCCAATACTTCTTAGGCCGCCTTCTACCTCTTCCCGTGCCCTCCACAACCAGCCGTTCGCACCTCCTTACCGGAGCATCTGGGCTTCTCCTCTGAACATGCCCGAACCATCTGAGCCTCGCTTCCCGCATCTTGTCATCAATAGGAGCCACGCACACCTTCTCCCGAATATCATCATTCCTAATATTATCTATTCTAGTGTGTCCGCACATCCACCTCAACATCCTCATTTCTGCTACCTTCATCTTCTGGATATGAGAGTTCTTAACAGGCCAACACTCAGCCCCATACATCATGACCGGTCTAACCACTGCTTTATAGAACTTACCTTTGAGTATCAGCGGCACTCTCTTGTCACACAATACTCCAGATGCTAACCTCCACTTCATCCACCCTACCCCAGTACGGTGTGTGACATCCTCGTCGATCTCCCCTCCCCCCTGGATAACCGACCCAAGGTACTTGAAGCTGCCTCTACTCGGGATGACCTGTGATTCAAGCCTCACATCCACGCTCACTTCCCCCTGCTAAGTGCTGAACTTACACTCCAGGTATTCCGTCTTCGTCCTGCTAAGCTTGAAACCCTTAGATTCAAGAGCCTGTCTCCAAACCTCCAGCCTCTCGTTAACACCGGCTCGCGACTCATCAATCAGAACTATATCATCAGCGAATAGCATGCACCATGGCACATCCCCTTGAATGTGGTGTGTTAACGCGTCCATCACCAGGGCGAATAAGAATGGACTGAGCGCAGAACCTTGGTGTAACCCCATAACAACCGGAAAATCCTCAGAGTCGCCTCCTACTGTCCTAACCCAAGTCTTTGCCCCATCATACATGTCCTTAATCACCATAATATAGGGAACCGACACGCCTTTTTCCTCCAAGCTTCTCCAGAGAACTTCTCTAGGAACCTTGTCATACGCTTTCTCTAGGCCAATAAACACCATGTGTAGGTCTTTCTTCCTATCTCTGTACTGCTCAACCAACCTCCTAATAAGGTGTATAGCTTCTGAAGTAGAATGACCCGGCATGAACCCAAACTGGTTGTTGGAAACGAACACGGTCATCCTCAACCTCGCTTCAACCACCCTCTCCTATACTTTCATAGTATGACTCAGTAATTTAATACCCCTATAACATATATATAACAAAGCAATAGAGAAAAATTTACAAAATGCAAGAGAGTATAGCCATGAAACGGAGATGTAAGCATTAATCCTCCTATCTCGTCTATCAAATTCACTACATATAACAGAGGCATCAAGTAGCATGTATAAAAGATATGCACATATAGCATGTAGAATGCATGATATTGCTTAAAGGATTCACTTAGATAAATAAAGCTTTTACCTTTATGCACCAACTCATCAATATCTCAAAATCTCCGTGTTCGTCACCAAGAGAGAAATATGAGAGGCCGAACCTAAGGGGATAGATCTGTATCTACACGCTGCACGACAGAAACCTCGTGCATATTAATGCCAATATCACAATAATCGCATAGCAGAAACCTCGTGCCATAACATTATCAATCCGCTCATAAAGTTCTAATGTGCCATGAGCATCCCAATTTGTATCAAAGATCTCCATCTCTAAAGATATATGCATATGCTCAAGAGACAAAAAATAATATGCACAAGGACACAATAAATAAAGGTGTGGATGTGTGTTCAAGATATAAAACGTGGGTACGGCTAAATCAAGTATATCAACATCTCAAGAATAGGCCATCATATCAAATGAAGATATCATAAGCCTAAACACGATCTCTAGCATGAATAAGTATGCTCATATAGTAATACAATAAAATAAATCACAAGTCAAGAAGAACACACAACCAAACAAGGTATAAAGAAGCCAATAGTCTACGCCAAGCATGAATAAACTATGACACCCATATATATGCTCATCACCATGCGTATATGTTGTCCCAACATATTATAATTAGCAAATAAGGTTATTTCCTAAGTTGTTTTCCCTCAAGCCAAGACTGGAAAGATACTTACCTTTTTCTGAAATAAGCTTCAACCGTCTAATAAGTCCTTTCCTCTATTCGTGTCACGATCCAAAATCCGCCTAGTCGTGATGGCACCTAACCCAACTCGCTAGGTAAACCAAATAACAACCAACGCAATTCTAATAATAATAATAATAGAGTCAAGAAGTAGAATAAGTGAATTTTATACAATAACTCAAGGATTGGTAGTACAAGTCATGAGCTTCTAAGACTTATAATTACAAAGTTGGTACGAAATAAATACATCATCTGTTCAAAATATACATAAATAGATTTGCCAATCTAAAGCTACCAAGAGCAAGTAGCAGCTATATTCAGAAAGCAAGTAAGTTTGTTAGATCATCAAAACATAAGGTAAAGTACTTGTAACCAAAGTACTTTTAGCCTATCAGACTCTTAATTCGCAAAATTATATTTACCCACATATGAGAAATTACTAATCTATCAACTCTAACATATTCATATAATTTATTAATCCAATTTCATAAAGTTCAATTGATTCTTTAGGAAGAAAATTCTCAATTGCGTGAATGAACTAGTGTAATTTCTATTACTCTATAGAATCTTCCAATCACGAGAATCAAAATTAAAATCTACCAGAAGAAGAAGCTCAAGTAATAATCGTAAGACACAATTAGTGCTTAATATTCCTCAACAGATTGCTAAAGATTAACAAAACTTATACATATCTTTCCTTGTTTCACTGACTTTTGCCAATCTCCTTATTTAACTCTAAACATTAAAATATATTCTCAAATTTGTGAAATAAAATACCTTAAGATTTGAACAAACAATGGCTGGAAATGGCTTTTTTTGCGGCACCAAGCTTTTTCCCCAACTCACCTTCTGTATTTTTTATGTTTGCCTTAACCCTTGACCCGTCAAAATCCCTTTTTGCT